ATTTTGGATTAACAGGACAGAGCTACGTGCAACTTTGTGGCTTTGCCTCCGTAAAAAATACATACCTAAAACTAAAACGGCCCTAACTAAAAAAAATTCAAAATCGACATTTTCATTTTCTGATGTATTACATCAAGCCAAATGTTCAAAAGGTGTTGCGGGCAGAGAAATTATAAATATATCTCCCCCTCGAAGAGGCTATTATGAGTTTGTAGGGAGAGGAAAAATCGTAGCCCTCAGCGGCGACGCCTCTGGCATGAAAAAAAAAATTTTCGTGGGGGGGCCTTAGGATAAACCTTTCGGGAGGGGAAAAATTAGGCTGTTTCCCAACTCCCTCATAAAATTATCGGTCTTATACCTTTTTTTTTAAAGATCCATCAAACGGGCACTTTGCCATTAAGAATTGGACGGCTTTGATGCTCTTTAAAATTGATTTTTTTTTTGGAAGCATCCAGCGGGCACTTTGCCGTTAAGTATTGGCCGGCTGGTATGCTATTTTAGTAGTAGTGTGAGGCATCTGAAGCGAGCACTTTGCCGTTAAGAATTGGCCGGCTCCAGTGCTCAACAAATGCATATAGGGAGGGGCTTTTATTACCAATGGAGTCACCACTTCCAGCCCAAGTCCCGGTGTTTATATTTTTAATAGTATTTTTTTTTTTGGTTTCATTGTTTTGTGTTAGTATGTTAGTTTACCTGAAAAGAAAATTGAAATATATTAATAAGATGAAAATAAAGAAGTAGAACGATACAGTTTTAAATTACCCGAATTATGCCATCAATTTTTTGGAATATCTGAAAATAAAGAAAAGAATTTCTGAAAATAAGGAAAAGAATATTATACTTACATGTGGATACCAGCTGCTAATCAATGAATGTAAATAACATGTGAGTGTATGTGTGTCAAAGATGTGTTTCAGAATCATATACTGACGTAAAAGTGGCAACACCAACAATCAGCACAATAAGGCGGGGTTGTATTTTCATTCAAAAATAAGATTTTAATATTGGCGCTAGTTTTTTTTATATTTAAAAATATGAAATTGAATGAATCTTCCTAAAAATTATGATTGCCTGTTATATTGGGTGTTAAACCTTAGGAAAAATATGCTGATTGACCCATGAAAAAGAAAATTGAAATTGGTGGATAAGAATTTAAGCAAATCCCGCGAAAATATGATTGTAATGTGGCGATAGAATATATAAATAATAAATAAATAAAATATTTAGCAGGAGAAATATTAAGATTGGAGGGAAAATTTTGATATATGTATATAGTTTTTTTTATAAGATTTGTTAGTGTAGTCGAAATAAGCGCCAGAAAATAGATGAAAAATAAAAAAAGATACAATAATATATAACGAAAAACCGCGAATTAAGTAAATAGGGGATAGGTATTTAAGCCACCAACAGAAGAGAAATTCATTTAATTATAAGAGTGAGACGTTAAAAGACAGAGTGAATATTGTTAAATAAAATACAAACTGTGTGGAAAAAAATAAAAATAAAGTAGAAAATTTGACTAGTGAAAAAGAAAATCTTATAACTATTGAAACATAACGTAAGTTATCAGAAAGTTTAAAATTTTTATGTAGTGTAGTATAATAATGATCAATTATTAATATAACAACACTTAACAAAAGCCAATTTCGTGACATATTTGGACTTGAAATAATAATTTAAGTAAATTAATAATTGATTACTTGTTATACCAATCAAGTTTTCAAATAATAAAATGAGGTAAAAACTTTCTACCCTAGCTGGCTATTTTTTTTGGAAAGTTATACGGATATATGTATGGAAGAAGTTATCCCAAACCACACAGTGATGAATAGCCAGGTAAAATTGTAGTTAAAATATTAAAAGAAAGTCTTATGAAAATCAGATAGTAAATGCCAAATAAGGAGAATATTTAAGTCGCAGCCTATATGTATAAGGTGGCAAATAATTGTAGCAGTGGCAAATCGATGAATACAAACCTTATCTACGTGAGAATAATAGTAAAAAAAATAAGTGAGCGTCAGCAAAAGCCAGAATTTCTTATTTTATTTTATAAATATAATTAATGGTTTATTATCCAAAAATCTTTTAACATTACGTCTCGAAATCTTAACCATGCCAATAAGTGTTTCAGTTCAAAAACGCTGCTACTAAAAAGAAAAAAAAAAAAAAAACAAAGGAAACTGAACAATTCAAATTTAAACATACAAAAAAAAAAAAAAAATGAAATGTATATATTTAAGTTAGTTTAAGATTGTGTTATGTGAGTTTATTGTACGAATTTCGTGAATGTGTAGTAAGATATATTTGTTAGTTATTTAAGGCATTATTTCCTCCAGCGATAAGTCATAAAAGAAAAAAAAAATAACAAACATAAAAGTATAGGATATAAAGAGAAGTTAAATATATATATCTTTCAGCTGTATTAAAATATGATAAATTAAAGTTCAAAAACAAAAAAATATATTTATTCTTAAAAGAGCTTAAGCGAGGCGTGCTAAAAGGCAAAACAAAAAAAAAAGGACCCGAAATATTGACGGGAAGAATAGTGAAATAACCTCAGGGAGCTCCTTTAGGCGAAAAGTGAAATAGAAGTGGTATTAGATAGTGTCTAGAATGTGACATAAAAGTAGTAGCTTGAGCCCTAACGAAAGAAATAAAAGATAAATAAATAAATATATACATACAATGAAATAAAGAAAAAAAAATTGGTAAAAACGAAAGAAAATATAAAAGATAAAGATATATATATTTATTAAACTTATGTATGTTTCTTCATTCAACCAATAATAAAAGTAACGGCTAAATAATTTGAATTTATAAAATAGAATAAGTGAAAATTAATATTAGTAACTATTATAGTAGTGTTATTGTTTATTTCAGTTTATTTTTATATTTAATGAAGTATGTTATGAATATAGTCAAAAGTTAAGACTCACTATGTTGGCTTAAATTATAGGTAGTTTGGCAATGTTGAACAGGTAAGTGGAAGAGTTCGGTCGTGTGGATTTAGGGTCGTAGGAAGATGTATTCGGGGATTCTACGACAAGGCTGGGAGGGCTGATAACGAGACGAACATCAGTCTCGAGTTTTTGCATGTGGTATTGTGTTGTATGTAGTTTTTCAGTCTTACCTTATTGTGTTCGTGTTTATAACCTGACGACAGGGTTGGAACCTCCTGGGATGGGAAAGCTAGTCGGAATCGTCAGGCCAAAGTAGACCGTAACAAAGGGCCCTATCTTCAAAAGCAGTTTTATATAAAGGCTAAAAGACGTAACTAATCATTTGTAAATACAAATTGTAAATTGTCAAAACAACTGAGAAATTTACCGTTAAAAATGTCTTTTGAAGAAAAACAAATCGCGCTGATTGAAACTAAACTTTCCATTTTAAATAGTTTTTTTGCTTCTCCTGTAGAATTTAAAAAATGTTAAAAATTATTCCCTTTATGCAGATTTCCATTCAACTGGAACCCTGCGTGTTTAATTTTATGCCTCTAAGTCCAATTATATAGAAAAATCAGAAAGTAGAGCGAAAAAGTACCAAAAGTCCCTTCCTATAGATTTCCATTCACTCCATATTTTATGTTTCTACGAAACGAAACAAAAAAGAACCAAAAAACACTTATTTTTTAATTTATATTTCAATATTATAGAAAACTCAAAAAGTACCAGCTGAAGAACATTCATACAGATTTCCATGAACAGAACCCTGCGTGTTTAATTTTATGTTTCTGACCAATATTATTGAAAAGCTAAAAAACACCATTTGAAAAACTACAAAGTACCCAAAAAGTCCTCTTATATTAAAGAAAACATAAAAGGTATTCGTTGAGGAACGAAAAAGTACTAAAAGATCGCATTTAGATACTCACACACTGTGGACCCTTCATGTTCAATTTCATGTTTCTAGGTTCAATATTTGTCGCCTGATGGCTCATCAATTTATTATTTTTATTTTCATTTAATTTAAAATATTTTTGTTAATTTAAATATTTTTTTTGTGGGCTATCCTAATGTTGTTTAATTTTGTCTTATTTACCAAATTGTTAATGATACTTATTGTAAGATCATTGTTGTTGTTTAGTTCATTTGTCCGTTAGGATTTTTTTTTATATTGTTTTGCATTCCTTTTTGTTCTCATTTGTTTACGAACTAAACGCATTCTTTGTCCCTATATTCTACTGCAGTAGTTTCGTTCAGTTTATTTATTTGGAAATAAACTGTTGTAAAAATACATAGACAAAAGAATTTGTAGGCTCAGTATTAACTGACATTAATATTAAAGTTTAGTTTGTTGGGGATAAAGACTGCGGTAAGTCGCTTAAATTATTTATAAGTTTCTTTTGTAATAATTGTATTTTTTAATAGAAATAAACGGTTGCTCAAATATATGCATCATTAATTTCACATTTGTGGTTCATTTATTTGGGACTTGTTAAATTCGCTGTCCTCAACATAAAGGCTCAGGTCGCAGCCAGCGACAAATTTTATTTCGCATTCCTTGGTGCGGTTGTGTTCCATGTCTGCCGGAACAACGAAATTTATTTGAAATCTTGAGCGAAGGTGTTCCAAGGTGCCTGAACAAGATAAGCCTTTTTTTTTTTGATTTGTGGTTCTAAGCTGCCGGAACAAATAAAATATTTTGAATTTTTGATTTGTGGTTCCAAGCTGCCGGAACAAATTGAAATAATTGTGAAGTGGTTCTATATTTGCTGGAACAAAGTGTTTAAAATAATTGTGTGCATTTTTGTGGTTCCTTATATGACGGAACGAGTAAAACTTTTATTAAGCTGAATTTGTGTGAAGTTATTTGCTGTCCTGCCGGAACAAATTTATTTTTTGTGAAATATTTGGAGTGTGTTGCTGTTTATTATTTGTGATTTGTGTGCCCTTTGAAAACGTTTGAGATTCGTAATGCAACGGTCGCCAGCTAGAAAAAGCACTCGTTTGCAGACGGCAACGAGCCAAAATGTGAAAAGTTCCACGCCTGCCGAACTGAAAGTTTAGCAAATGTGTCTCAAATGCCGTCGGTACAAAATGTCAGTTCTGTCGCCCCCGGAACAACAACAGCAACTAGTGCCTCCATAAGTGCCCCTAGAGAACCGACACCTGCCATATCAACGCATAACATTTTTAGTTCATCAATTGAAGAGCCCTTAAGTCTGCCGCCGTTGGTGCCCGGTCCTAATGCGAGAACCCAGCCACCACAAGCTATATCGTCTGATAATGAGAACCTGCAACGACAAATTGATATCCTGCAAGCCCAGTTGGCAAACGCTCAACGTGCTTTAAGAGCAAATCAAAATTTAAATATGCCAAGTGTTATTGGACAAAATGCGCCAGTAATTCAAAGTATGAGCAGTGGCCCTGAAGACATGGTTGATCGTCGGAATCCAACGCCATATTCCTATGGTAGTCAGTCAGACCAGTTGATGACATCTCAGCCTCTTTTTGTTTCCCCTGCTACAGTGTCCATGCCAGTACAACGCAAACTTTATGATCTGCCTGAATTTTGTGGTACTGCCGAGGACTGGCCAATGTTTTTGTCTGCCCTTGAACATTCGACAGCCGCATATTCGTACAATAATTTTGAAAATTGTTTGAGATTGCAGAAGGCTTTGAAAGGTGAAGCCAGAGAGTGTGTGAAGTCGTTGCTCATCCACCCAAATAATGTGCCAACAGTTATAGAGCAATTAAAGCTACAATATGGTCGCCCAGAGTTGCTTATTCGATGCCAGTTGCAACAGATGAAGGAAGTTCAGCCCATAGCAGAAAACGCGATCGATAAATTGGTGCCATATTCCATTAAGGTCAGAAATTTAGCAGCATTTTTGGAATCTGCCAATGGTCATCAACATTTGTCGAATCCAACTCTGATGGAGGAGTTAGTCCAGAAGCTTCCAATGAGTAAACGTTTGGATTGGGCCCAGTTTGCTTCAACTTTACCTCAGTTGCCGACTATTTCGGATTTTAGTACCTGGCTCCAGCGTGTTGCAAATTTGGTAAGAAGTGTGCAAATAAGTAGTTCAAGTGGCGGTAGATCTAGCAGTGATCCAAAAAGAAAAGTGGTTTTATATGCTTCTGATGGCCCAGAACGGCAGTTAAAATGTTTTTATTGTGTTGGCCCACATAAAATTTTTAATTGTAAGAAATTTATAGAATTGAGTGTGCCTAATAGATGGAGTGAAGTGAAGAGATTGAAGTTTTGTTTTTCGTGTCTCAGTGGTGGCCATTCATGTAAAGACTGTCGTCGGCGCAAGCAGTGTCCCATGGAAAAGTGCCAAAGAAATCACAATAAATTATTGCATGAAACTAAACCTAATGAACCAAGCGAACGATCCGTAAATGTGCAGCCAACAGAGAGATCTTCAACAGTCGAGCCAGTGCTTAGTTGTGTTTCCAGAGCTAGTGAAAAAAGTGATTTGTTGTTCAGAGTGCTCCCAGTGGTTCTTTATGGACCAAATTGTTCTATTGAAACTTATGCACTCCTAGATGAAGGTTCTTCGGTGACAATGATGGATAGCTCTTTAGTGAGGCAGCTTGGACTGCAAGGTCGACAAAGTCAATTGAATTTGAGTTGGTATGCACAGTGGGGCAGAATGGAAATTTTTTGGAAATAAATCTGGCATTTCTAAACGGCTGATCCGATCGGAATAAAATTTGGCGTGAGCGTAGCCAAGGAGTATTCGAGTTTAAGTTTTGAAGATGAACCCTGCAGATGCCCCAGGGACGGCGCTGTGGCGGCTCAAAGTAGGGTACCTACGACATGTAAAATTTTTAAACTCGTGCCATTTTTTTGTTTTTCACCCAAATACAAAGATTTTTATATTTTGTGAAAGCGCTCGACGAGATCTTGAAAAAACATGCTTGGACATACTACTTATCTCTTATAATATCCGAGTTATAGGCATTTAAAAATTTAGTGATACAAAATTTACCATACCTTGGTCCGCCTTTTTTTGAATACCGGGCGTAATTTTGGACCAAATGGACTCAATTTTTTCTTGTTAGTTAGACAACAAAATTTCCAATAATATACAAAAAATTTCAGATCAATATCGTTTACAGATCCAAAAATATACGTTTTTTAATTTAAAAATTCAAAAAATTTTAGATTTTTGGCGTTTTTTTGCCAAAAATGTGTCTTAACTCTTTTATTAATAAAATAAAATTTTTATTAAGAACATATAACAATTTTATAGTTTTCTAAAAGGTATCTTTACGCAGAACGCTTTGGAGTAAAAAACTTGTCCTATTTTTTGAAAATGTTGCCACTGCGTCCTTCCGAATATGACCTATTTTTATCAAAACTTCAACTTTGGGCGACATGTTCTAAAATCCCAAAGCTGGGATCAGAAAACTGAAAGCAGTTTTGGAAACCTCAATATGTTTTCTATTTACTCCAAAAGTATTTTCCCAGCCCTAAAAGAAATGTGGACCCTATGGGCAAAAAAGTAAAAAATCCCATTTTTGGGATTTTCATTCCTATTTTTGGGAATTGCGGGATGCCCTTTGACCTTTTCAATTTTTTTTTTTGCATATTCTTATTTGAAATGACAAATTTAACAAGCGTTGAAAATTTCATTGAGTTTTGCTCATAAATAAAGATTTTGTCATATATTACATATTTGTTTAATTTCTAAAACTATGATTTATATCAAAATTTTAATAGGATCGCAGATAGCTACAACAATTTAGTCCATATTTATCCCTTAATATCATTTTTTAGTTAGATATGGAAATTCTCGACCCTTTACAAAAATTTTCAAGCCAATATCTCAATTACATTCAAAAATATGTTCATTTAAATCTGTGTCCTTTAATTTCATATTTTTCATATTTTAGTATTAAGTATGACAGAACATACATTTGGTGTTGAATAAAATATTTGGACAATTTTTAAAAATTATTTAGTTAATTATTTTATTATAATATTGTATATAAAATAAAAAAAATTATAATTTTATTATGAGCCACGCACAACAACACCTAAATCACCCCACACAAATTACCTTTCCCGCCCACCGAAATATAAAACACAATTGAATACAATATCATCAGTTAGTATAATAGCTTTTTTTATTTGAACTGTTTATCTTAAACATAATACAATTAATTCTTACAACCTACTTATATAGTTAATTCCTAACACTACTTATTTTCTATAAAATAATCTGTCATATCGGTATACATATCCAGAAGGTAATATAAGTCCTTTAAATCTTCCTTGTTTTGAGATGATAGAGTTTCATAACAAATCCATCTTTTTCGCATAGTTGAAAGAACAGGATCAGAAGATAGAAGTAAACTATTAAAAATATCTTCATTCTGTGATTGCCTGGAGCATTTTCTTGAGCTGAATAGTTGAACATGCTTAAAATCTCGATTCCTCGCTTCCTGGGCTTCTTCCGTTAACTCTCCAAGTGGAAGAATATTTGATTCAATTATTATTTGACCATGACACAATACTTGTGTACTGTTGGTGTTAGTTCCCTCCATGGATACAGAGATACAAGTAATTTAGAAATTTCAGATGTGTATTCCCCAAATCGATTTTCATTAATTTTATGTTTACTATTCAGTGCCATTAAAATAGTTTTAACTCTTCGAAGCAACTCCTTGTCGATTCCAGTTATTTTTGAAGTAATTTCAAAATCACGAAAAAACCTTCTTGACGTATTACCGTCATTTGTACTACCGCAACTTGAAAGTGGTTTGTCGATGTTTAATCCCATCTGAACTTTAAATTCTTCTTGGATTCTGCTTTTTTCCGCAGCTCTCAGTTCTTTCAATTCTTCATTATTTTTTGTTGATTTAGTAGGATAGTTTGTTTTTTTTTTCCTGGATCGCCTTGTATGATGGTAATATATTGTGTCCTTTTTCATGCAGAGCTTTCCTTAATATTTGGTACTTATTTCGACTGAGACCCAGTTCCAACATAAGCGCTATTGCTTCCTCTTCAGTAAAATTTGATTATGATGTTGGAGTTGGTATACTTTCCACAATTCGCTTAAGTCGTTTTGGTGATGCATTAGGAAGAATAGTTGCAATATGTACGACATCCATATGTTGGTTTTCCTTTTTCAGCATTTCGTTAAATGTATCAGCAATTTCCTCATTTGAGATTGAAAAAAGTTTTTGTGTGACCCTCTTTTTTTTACCTTGAACATAAGTCTTCGTATGACTTGCAAGGCGCTCCTATTGAAGTGTTGTAAGTTGAGATTTCCGTAGTAGTTTCCATCCAACTACAAAATTTTAATCGAAATTTCTTTTGATTTCCATCCACAGACTTACTTTTTACATCAAAAAGTTTTAAAAAGTTTTCAATTTTTGATATGCCTGTTTTGTCTACTTTTCTACTATATGCAGTTTTTATATAATTTGAAATGTCTTCAATTCTTTCTGGCCCTTTTGAAGATATACTCCATAAAACGGAACACAACTCTTCGTACTTTAATGTAATCTTCATTGTAGATTTATTAAATATGGTACTTAAAATCTGAGAAGTTTACTTATATACCAATTCTTGTCATTTCCGATACAGGTATTCCAAAGTAAAAAATTACGAATTGTCTACCTATTAACATTTAGGACTATATTACTATAACCTGTAATTCAGTCATTGATATTTCTTATTAGTGAATGAATCGAAATTATCATTACCTGTATATTTTTACCTACATGATCATAAACGAAACAGAACGAAATGATCTGTCGAAAAAATTTAGGTAAAAAATAGTTATAAATTTTTGAAAATTTAAGCATAAGCATTATAAGGATAAGCAAACAAATAGAAAATAGGTAAATATAAGATTTAAATATGTGCTGTCATACTTAATACTAAAATATGAAAAAGATGAAATTAAAGGACACAGGTTTAACTGAACATATTTTTGAATGTAATTGAGATATTGGCTTGAAATTTAAATAACTAAAAAATGATATTAAGGGATAAATATGGACTAAATTATTGTAGCTATCTGCGATCCTATTAAAATTTTGATATAAATCATAGTTTTAGAAATTAAACAAATATGTAATATATGACAAAATCTTTATTTATGAGCAAAACTCAATGAAATTTTCAACGCTTGTTAAATTTGTCATTTCAAATAAGAATATGCAAAAAAAAAATTGAAAAGGTCAAAGGGCATCCCGCAATTCCCAAAAATAGGAATGAAAATCCCAAAAATGGGATTTTTTACTTTTTTGCCCATAGGGTCCACATTTCTTTCAGGGCTGGGAAAATACTTTTGGAGTAAATAGAAAACATATTGAGGTTTCCAAAACTGCTTTCAGTTTTCTGATCCCAGCTTTGGGATTTTAGAACATGTCGCCCAAAGTTGAAGTTTTGATAAAAAATAGGTCATATTCGGAAGGACGCAGTGGCAACATTTTCAAAAAATAGGACAAGTTTTTTACGCCAAAGCGTTTTGCGTAAAGATACCTTTTAGAAAACTATAAAATTGTTATATGTTCTTAATAAAAATTTTATTTTATTAATAAAAGAGTTAAGACACATTTTTGGCAAAAAAACGCCAAAAATCTAAAATTTTTTGAATTTTTAAATTAAAAAACGTATATTTTTGGATCTGTAAACGATATTATTTATCTGAAATTTTTTGTATATTATTGGAAATTTTGTTGTCTAACTAACAAGAAAAAATTGAGTCCATTTGGTCCAAAATTACGCCCGGTATTCAAAAAAAGGCGGACCAAGGTATGGTAAATTTTGTATCACTAAATTTTTAAATGCCTATAACTCGGATATTATAAGAGATAAGTAGTATGTCCAAGCATGTTTTTTCAAGATCTCGTCGAGCGCTTTCACAAAATATAAAAATCTTTGTATTTGGGTGAAAAACAAAAAAATGGCACGAGTTTAAAATTTTACATGTCGTAGGTACCCTACTTTGAGCCGCCACAGCGCCGTCCCTGGGGCATCTGCAGGGTTCATCTTCAAAACTTAAATACGAATACTCCTTGGCTACGCTCACGCCAAATTTTATCCCGATCGGATCAGCCGTTTAGAAATGCCAGATTTATTTCCAAAAAATTTCCATTCTGCCCCACTGTGGTATGGTGGTAAATCAGCACAAGAAGCTGTCATGGTGGTGGATCTTCATGTGAGCGGTGTTAATAAGAAGAGGAAATACGCATTGAAAAATGTGTATGGTGTCTCGAATTTGAAGTTGCCTAGTCAGAGCTTTAATGCGGATTTAGTAAAGAATTGTGGTGTTCCTTTATACTCCTATGAATGTGTGGCTCCAAAGGTACTGATTGGTTTAGATCATTGCCATTTAGGATTGCCCGATGAAATAGTCCCTTTGGAAGATGCTGGTCCATATGCTGCCAATACGCCTCTTGGATGGGTTGTTTTTGGAAACGTGAAAATAGGTCGCCCTGGAACACAAACTTGTTTGCTGACAACACAGTTGGATAATTTGAATAATTTGGTGGCAAGTTATTTTGAAACAGAAAATTTTGGTGTTAAGGCTCTACCGGTGATTGAGTCAAGAGATGATTTGCGTGCACGAGAGATATTGAGAAATTCGACGAAGAGGGTTCCCGGAAGATTTGAATCCAGACTACTATGGTGTAATGATGACGTAGTCCTGCCGGATAGCTATTCCATGGTACTTAATCGATTTTTTGGATTGGAAAGGAAAATGAAAAATAATGCGGATTTTGGTGTGGCCTATAAGAAAATAATAAGTGAATATTTGAAAAAAAATTATGTACGCAAATTATCATTGAGTGAAGTTGATACATTTCATCCGAGAACGTGGTACTTGCCCCACTTTGGTGTCGTTAACCCTAATAAGCCAGGGAAAATTCGTTTGGTGTTTGATGCGGCAGCAAAGGTGGAAGGTGTCTCATTGAATTCAAAGTTATTGAAAGGCCCTCAGCAGTACAAACCGTTGCCATCCGTTTTGTTTAATTTCAGAGTCGGTTCCGTAGCTGTATGCGGAGATATAAAGGAAATGTTTCATCAAGTTGTTGTTGCTGAAGAAGACAGGTGTTCGCAGAGGTTCTTGTGGCGAGATAATGAAAGTGGTCCACCGGAAGTGTATGAGATGCTTGTGATGACCTTTGGAGCTGCCTGTTCACCCTGTATTGCCCATTATGTGAAGGAAGCAAATGCAATGGAGTATCGGGATCGTTTCCCTAGAGCCGTGAAGTCAATTCTGGATCATCATTATGTAGATGACTTTGTAGACAGTTTTGTTAATCCGTCAAAAGCCATTGAAATTGCCGTACAAGTTCGTGAAATACATAAAGCTGCTGGGTTTGAAATGCGTAATTTTACATCGAATTCATCAGAGGTGGTTGTGGCTCTCGAAGGCAGTTTAAATCATCAGGTCAGTTTCTTAGGTGGCTTAAAGGAGTTGGACGGTTCAACTGAAAAGGTTCTTGGCATGCTTTGGGATCCAAAGGATGACGCGTTCAAATTTGTTTTGAAATTCCATCGTGTGAATTCGGACGTGATCAATGGTAAAAGTTGTCCCACAAAGCGTGAGTTGTTATGTGTCGTAATGTCCATTTTTGATCCAATTGGTTTTTTGTGCCATTTTATGATAACTGCCAAACTTTTGATGAGAGAAGTCTGGAGACATAGAGTACTTTGGGACGAGATGTTGCCCGTGTCATTACAAGCGATGTGGAATAATTGGCGCCAAGAGCTAAGAAATATTGTCCATGTAAAGGTTCCACGATGGTATTTTGGAAATGGTTTGCCCTTGGAGTTAGAGCTGCATGTTTTTGTTGATGCCAGTGAAGATGCCTTCGGTGCAGTGGCCTATTGGAGATATACAACATCTGATGGACAAATAGGAGTGTCGTTATATCTGCCAAGTCGAAATGTGCCCCATTGAAATGTATGACCATTCCCAGATTAGAACTACAAGCCGCCGTTTTGGGGACCCGATTGATGGACACTATAATTAAGGAACACGATCTCAATGTTTCTCGTCGAATCTGTTGGAGTGACTCTACAACTGTCATTAGCTGGATTGGTTCTGAAAGTAGGAGATATAAACCATTTGTTGCCCATCGAATTGCCGAAATACTTGATTCGACACGCCCATTGACTCACTTGCCTGTCAGCCCTGAAGACGAAGAACCATTGACGCCAAATCATTTCTTGTTGGGATCTACAAATACAGCTCAAACACCAGAAGGTATTGAAATAACAAAGCCAGTGGTACTGAAAAAGCAGTGGCGAATTGCTAGACAGCTACGAGATCATTTCTGGAAAAGATGGATTATTGAATATTTGCCCACACTTACAAGACGGTCCAAATGGTGTGAATATACCAAGCCTGTGGCTCCGGGTGATCTTGTACTAATTTGTGATCCAGCTGTTTCCCGTCGAGATTGGAAGAGAGGTCGTGTCATAAATGTGTTCCCTGGCAGTGATGGTGTAATACGGAGAGCTGATGTCCAAACAAGTAGTGGAATACTTAAACGCCCGGTTTCCAAACTAGCAGTCCTTGATTTGGATGGTGAATCGTTGCCGATCCACGGTGGTGGGAATGTCGCCTGATGGCTCATCAAATTATTATTTTTATTTTCATTTAATTTAAAATATTTTTGTTAATTTAAATATTTTTTTTGTGGGCTATCCTAATGTTGTTTAATTTTGTCTTATTTACCAAATTGTTAATGATACTTATTGTAAGATCATTGTTGTTGTTTAGTTCATTTGTCCGTTAGGATTTTTTTTTATATTGTTTTGCATTCCTTTTTGTTCTCATTTGTTTACGAACTAAACGCATTCTTTGTCCCTATATTCTACTGCAGTAGTTTCGTTCAGTTTATTTATTTGGAAATAAACTGTTGTAAAAATACATAGACAAAAGAATTTGTAGGCTCAGTATTAACTGACATTAATATTAAAGTTTAGTTTGTTGGGGATAAAGACTGCGGTAAGTCGCTTAAATTATTTATAAGTTTCTTTTGTAATAATTGTATTTTTTAATAGAAATAAACGGTTGCTCAAATATATGCATCATTAATTTCACATTTGTGGTTCATTTATTTGGGACTTGTTAAATTCGCTGTCCTCAACATAAAGGCTCAGGTCGCAGCCAGCGACAGTCAACAAATTGTCACAGAACGTCCATTTCAAAGGATTTATATGGACTTGTTGGGTCCATATCCCCGTACGAAAATGGGTAATTCGACAGTTTTTGTTGCCATTGACCACTTTACTAAATATATATATTTAAAGCCACTCAAAAAGACTACAAGTTCAGCTATTATCAAATTTCTTGAGGAATCCATTTTCCATCAATTCGGTGTTCCACAATTTGTCCACTCTGACAATGGGAAGCAGTTTGTCTCTTCACAAATGACAGATTTTCTTAAGGTATATGGTGTTACCCACATTAAGACTGCGCTATACTCACCACAGGCGAATGTTTCCGAAAGGACAAATCGCGAATTCCTACCCAAACTTCGTGTACTAATAAAATAGAAACAGGATAGGTGGGACATGCATGTTTCAAAAATATCAAGCATTTTAAGAAGTAATTACCATGACGCAATCAAATGTTCACCATATTTTTGTGTTTTCGGTTATAATATGATAAATCATGGTACCGCTTACCCAATTCTTCAAAAACTTAATAGCTTAAATGAACCTCAATCTAATTGTATTCCAAATGACTGTCGAATGTCAAATTTGCATGACAAGGTAAAGGAAAATTTATTAATAGCACATGAAAAAGCTTCAAAAAGGTATAATCTAAGGTGTAGAGATATAGATTACAAGCCAGGACAGGAAGTCTTGAGAAAAAGTTTCCTGCTATCAGATATGAAAAAGGGCATTAATGCAAAGTTACTACCTCCATATATTAAGTGTAAAATTAGAAAAAAAGTTGGATCTTCATATTATGAACTAGAAACTACTTCCGGGAAATATATTGGCATGTATCATGAAAAAGATATTAAACTCCTATAGAAAATATTTACAAAAAATTGCCCGGCAAATGATATACTCAGGGTGTGGTCGTGCCCCACAAAAAACTTCAAAAATCTGATTTTTCCTTATTTTCGTCCTAGGTGAACTAGGCCTACAAAGAAGGTTTTGTAACAGATTTTTATAAAAACTTTAATTTTGAAATCTAAACTGTAAACAGAGTATTGTCATAAGTAATATTCTAGACATTCGTTTTCTTATTCTTAACAGTCAATTACATCTAAAATTTTACTAAGAAATAACAACATTATTTATAAATTATAAATGTTTACACAAATCTCCAAAACTTAGGCTACAACTTTGTCATTTGAATAAGATATATATGTAAATATGTAAAAATATCTTATTAAGAAATTAATTTATGATTATAACTAGAACTATTTTATTAACATTATATTTATTTAACTTTCAATAAGTTATAAATACAATTTGTTATGGTATAACATAATTGTAATAGAATAACTTGCTTTACAACAGCAGAAAACTAATTAGCAACATTGAAGATTACCAATTACTGAATTAAATACCCAGTAATTAGGTAATTGCTTAATTAAGCTCAGCTAAGTGATAATGTTTAAGCTCGACTTCCTCTTTTTCTTTTTCGATACAATTCTTGGAGCATAAAGTTATATTGAACGGATACTTCATTGCATCGACTTTTTACCTCATGTAACTATAAGTGCTTGAATTCGGAAATAATTATAAGTGACAAATAAGAATGTAATTCACTGACTACAATTATAAAAAAATTGTAAAACAATTTTGCTATAAACTAATTCGATTGAACTGATTTTAAAACCTTAATAAACCCAATTGAATTGGTAAGATTTTATTACAAAATATAAAAAAAGAAAGAAAAATTATATTAAATTATATATAATTCCCAAAAAGAAAAAACATGTTTCTATTCAAATCTCGAGTTAAGACAAATTATAACTAAATGTTGAGAAAACTACGCAACTCATATTAAGAAGATGCATAAAACACATTGGGCTTAACACGTCAATATCTAACAGTTTATTCACCATCAATTTGTCAATATTTTACTAAGCATCCACATGATCCAGCTTTAAATATTCACCAAATTTAAATCGTGATGCCTAAATTCCGCAATAGCAGTTCCTTTCAAACTACACTATTTTTCCAAATTACAATATAAATTAATTGGAAATAATTTGGTTCTAGAATCTGCACTCAAACATTTTACTTCATTCTATAAATTTTACCATAACCTGCAATATAGTATGCTAATTAGTTGCCCACTGATATCTGTCAAAATAATCATCAAAACCTGATCTTTAAATTTGAGAAAGACAAAGTTTGTCGTCATCGAAGTTTAATTATAACTACAACAAAATAAGACAAAAGAGACAAGAGCAACAAATATTTATATCACTAATATGAGCTAAGTATAACAGTTTCAAAAATAAGTAAGTTTTTAAGAGAGTAAATGGAGCTTTTGTTCTATAATGTAATGTAAATTCTATAATGTAATTTTTAACTTTTAATTAACATAAAGAGAAAATGTTTAAATTTAACAGAACTCTAATTTTACATAATTGTGATGAAGAAATGTTTATAAACAAATTTAACAATTGTTTATCTACAGAATTTATAATTTGTAAATATGAAATAATACTAGTTCAATGTGAAATATTTATAAATGAATTTTGTAAAATTATTTCATATTGAACAATATTATCTAATGTAAAATAACAATATTATTACTTAATTAATAATTATGAAGTTATAGCATGTTAGAAAATTTGTTGTATATTATACCTACAACCTTGTTGTTATTATATTACTAATTCAATGTTTTCAAGTTGCAGTTCCCGAAATGCTTTGAGCTCAAACCATTAACCAAATCTGGAAAGGATTTATGAAAAGAGTAAACTTGACATCTGGTATAAAACACAAAGAACAAAGCAACAGAATCGTAAGTCATGATATGCAAAAAATTTTATTAACATGCGATCGTTTAATATTTAACATATAAATATGTATTCAATTTATTTAATAATTGTATTGGTTACAAATTTAAGAATTATTTAAAGTTTTGAATTTTTTTGGAATATTTTTATAAACAATTAAAATTAGATTTAAAGAACAGTTTATAATTGATTCATATGATAATGAAAATAAATAGATTTGAGTTGTCTAAAATGAAAAATATTGAGTAGAGATTACATTTATTTGGGAATGCTGTTTGTTAAACTTTTGATACAGATTTAGATGTACGATTAAACTATAGGGGAAGATACTAAAACATAAACATTTCGAACACTGTAGTATCTTAGTAGTAAGAGGGTGGGTAACCTTAATTAAAAGTGTTCTAGGTGAAATCAACTACCACCTCTAATTATACAATATTTTACGTATCCTGTTAGACAAACAATAGCCCGGTTTTGTTGTAAAGTTTAGATATCCTGGTAGAGTAGAGCCTTGGAAAGAATATTTCTCTTTTTGTTTATGTAGAGCATGAAGGTCTAGTATGTTCAAGAATCCTCCCCAATCCGGCGAGCTCAGCCCATTCAACTTTCCAAGCAACGAACATACTGATCTTGGTAAATGACAATATTGAAAGCTCTCATGTTTTAAAAATTTGCTACATATAGCACGACGAACTAGTCGACAACAATTCGTTGCGTAAATTCGTCGAATGGAACACAATCAAATTATTCGTACTGTGTGTTTGTTCGAAATTGGAAAAAATAAGAAAAAGGAACAAAAATTATATTTTTGTGAACCTCCACGATTTTGAGATAATTTTAACAGCTTTAAAATTTATTCGAACATTATTTCGAAATTAGAAAATATAAGAAATTGGCCTCGAAAATAGCTAAAACTATATTTTTGTGAATATCCCCAATTTTGAGATTATTTTAACAG